TTGCATTGGAATCTCACACTGGAAAGTTTGTTTGGCAGCCTAATGATCTACACGATGTAGCTAATTAAGCAGGGGTACAGATATACAAATATCTGTCTATCTTGCGTGCAAGTACACACTTTGATCCATCTTTCTGCATCCAAAAGAGAGACAAAAGAACAATTCTTTTTTCCAGGAAAGCAAGCAGTGCACTCCTTGTCCATCGGCAAGCAGGCTACTCATTCCGATGAACCCTAACCTCCGTAGAGCTGCAAATTAGCATGCTAATTAACCCGCACAAGTTGCAAATTTCGGAGAGATCCCACTAGCGCTAGTTGAGAGTTGAGTTCGATCGATTCAGTTTGAGGAGTGGAAACCACTCGGAAGGTTCGTACACGCTTGCGGCGCGAGCGACGACGGCGACGGCGGCACGTCGGCTGGCCGGAGACGAGAGAGACGCCGGTCGTTTGGTTGAACGGAGTCTGCAGCTTGGTCCACTGTTCAAAAGGCGCCTGCGGAATCATTCATCTGCTTGGGTTTTTTTTTTCTCATGGTGGAATCCGCCACCCAAGTACGGAAGACGTACACCTTGATTATCCCTGTGGTCAATATTCTCAGGCTTAAGTAGGTCCCCATGCAACATGCATGATCCATGCCCACCTAGAAAATCCATCAGGGCCTTTGAATGTTAGGGTTGAAAAAACGAAGGAATAGAAAAAACATAGTATTATGACAGGAATTGAAGTGTAAAACAGAGGATTGCAAAACACAGGAAAAACACAGGAATGGTCGTTTGATTAGAGCACAGGAAAAACGCAGGAATCGGATGAGAGAGATAGACTCAAAGGAAATTTTCCAAGAGGTTGGAGCTCTTGCTAAATTTCCTCCAAAATCCACATGCAATGTGCCATTCCATAAGAATTTCATAGGATTTGGAAAGCTTCAATCCTTTAAATCAAAGGGCCAAATAGGAAAATTTCCTATAGGATTTGAATCCTATGAATTTCCTACATAAATCCTTTGATTCAAAGGGGCCCTCAATATATATGATTCTATATAGATGAGCACAAGAAAGATCTTACACTTTGAATTCTCTCTCTGAATAACCCTAGATTATGTGTTTAATACCTAGAAATATTATAGTATTTGAGAAAATATTTGTAGGTATCAAAATTTATACTAGAAAATTTGGTATTTCTCAGTACATTTTACCCTTAACTTGGTAGGAGAATTTAATTTTTGGACAAGTTATGCCTTTAATTTCCTTGTGAGTTCATTCTTTGTGAATAGGGTAATTTTACCGTACTTGAAAAAGTATTTAGAGGTACCATATTTTCTAATGTAAAATTTAGTATCTCAAATTACTAAGTATCTCAAGATACCAAAATTTTAATGTAAAATTTAGGTATCTCAAGATACTTTCTCAAGAACTATAAAAATCCTCTTGCGAATAAGCACCAAAATTATTTCAGACGAAGCAATGACTGCACACTATTCTCTGTATAGTACAGAGCTAAACTTGTGGGGATAAAAATGATTGATGAGTGTTCATATGTAGATGCATGGAAATTCACGTGAATGGTAGGGCAAACTAGAGAGAAATAAAAAATTACGAAATATCTAGCTAGGAGGACGGTGCTTGATGCTTGTTGCCGTAATGGTGCGGATTAGGTGTAGACACCGTCCTAACTTAATCGAGCAAGGAGTTGGACCAAACTTATTCTAATCCATAATTATGTACGAACCTATTGGGACTTTGGCACAAGTCAAACCAATGAGCCTCACGCGGCACAGTGTCTCTTACTGGATTAACTAAGCAAAAAGATGTTTGTACTGAGGTTAGCATGCTAGCTAAATTAGTCACAAAAAGACAGTGCTTTTTTGTAGATTAGCAGTTGGATGCTGGCTGATTAACTGCATGTTGTTTTGCTTGCTTGTTATTACCAGGTCGCATCAGATGGGAGATTTATTTGGACTAGAAATAAAGGTAATTAATCTCCTCCTTGTTTGTGGATATCGATCGGTACGTTTTCTAATCTTTCTCCAATACATCTTCAGATTTGCATTTGACTTTGGTTTGGCAGCTTCCTACTAGCGCTAGTTAATTAGTTTAACTGATGACAGTAATGACAAGCAACCGCCAAATTAATAAACTCTGCAAAAAGATTCCTATCCCATTGTGTAGTGCTACTGTTCTAGCACTTGTAAATTAAATCTGTCTTTCTGTTTCAGCAATGTGTTGGTGTCAAGTCTGAACTCTGAATTTTCAGTTGCATATGCTATGCGATGCTACTAGTGACTGAAAAACTGAAAATATTGTGGTTGTTCTGACGTGCCAACGGTAGAGATACACCCTTGACTGATGAATGCAGCATTTCCATCTGGACCAAACGTTGATGGGATTCAACTTTTCAACGAATCAACATATATAAAGAAGATAAAATATGCCTGTACGAACGCAGAAAATATTTATATTCCAGTTATATATATATTTCGCAGGTTCTTGCAATGTTCAGGTTTTCAGACTCGATAGCATTATTGATGGTTGTTGAGAGTGGAATACTGTTGCAACTTGCAAGCATGAAGATCGCTAGCTCAGCTGCATCAGAGACAGTTCGGTTTGGTCGTTGCGATTCAACTCGATTTCATTATAAAAACTGTCCATCCAACCAACCCATAGACCTGATCACGATTATATATGCTGATCGTACTTGGCTAGCTAGTGAGCAGTCTTGCTTAAACTGAAGCTAGGCGTCATTTTAGTCAAATTCACGTCATATGTTAATCTGAACTGAAAAATATAGAATGATAAAATTCTATTATAGCTAATCCGTTGTGCTAGCTACGCGAAGGAATCTCCGCAGCACCAACAGGACCACTTGTAGACTGATGAAGAATATTTCTTCTTCTTCTTCTTCTTCTTCACCTTACCAAAAACTCCGAATTCATCAGGTAGATAAAACTACTTTGTGATAAATAGGTATGAATTATGACCTACCTAGTACCCACATTCGATTCATTCACCATAATTCCTCCAAAACAACTTTGGTTTTGTTTCAAATTTTTTTTATGAATATACGAGGAACGAAAACAGTTAGAAACGGTAGCATCTCTATGAAAATGATTCTCAGTTGAGTAGAAATTAAATATTTCCACCCATCTAACTATTTAGTGACCATTGCAATACAACGTTTTAAAAACTTATAAACATAAATTCAATATATCGCTAGAATCAGAAACGCTTGGTAGGAAATTTTCATCTCCGTTTACAACCTTCCTTTCACCAAACTTTTTACTCATGTTTTATTCAATGAAATTAACACATCTAGTACCGGTTCGTTTAAAACATTTGAGATACTTCTAATAAAACTTTGATAGGAGAGAAAACACATGACAAATTCATCGGGCGATCCTAGCTGCTCGATCAGTATGGGATACAAACCTGAAGGCGCTGGAGCTAGCTGACCGGCATCTATCTCAGTGACATCGCCGTCGTCGTCGCGGCCGCAGGTTGGACCAAACTAATTAAGCCGAAACTTTTTTTGCCGGAAAAGAAGAAAACGGCAGCGAAATCAACAGCTCGATCGGTCGCTATACCCCCAAGCTAAGTCAAAATTTCCCGGGTTCCTTTCCGCGGCGGGGGGATGGATGGACGGCCGGATCTGGGGCCACGTACGCCGAGCCAGGCTGTGGTCGGCCCGCCCGCGACCAACCTCGGTCGCGACCCGGACACGGACTCGGTCGCACCGTGACACGACGCGTACGCGACATGTCTCGCTGTAGCGTGAGCCGTCGTCGCACCGGCCCGGCCCGGCCTGCCTGCCTCGTCAGGTGAAACGCCTTTTCTGACAAATTACTACGGAGTAGTAGTTACGTGCAGGTTTAGGAGAGGTAATTAATGAAACATTTCTTTTTGACACAGGCTACCACTTTACATGATGAAGAATCATTATCCGATCGAGATTTAAAATTACAACTTACATTTGGTCGCATTTTTCCGTGCAACACATGTAATCGTGGTTAAAAAAAAAGCTGTAAATCTGAAGATTAGACACATGTAAAAAAAGAAAGCTGTAAAGCAGTAGTGTCCTTTTTTACTAAATGTGATTAACAAGTAAAATCAGTCACATTTAATACGTGCCAGCCGATGAATTCCTGGCTTGCAAATTTCGGTTACGATTTATTGGGCACGCCGTTTTTTTTCCCTTTGACACGTACGGCCTCTCGCTTTTCCACCGTCGGGACGCCACAGCCGTCGGATCGCCATCGGACGGAGAAGGAACGAGGAGGCATCGGCAGCGTCATGCTAACGTCATCAAGCTGGCCCATCGACGGTGGGCCCGGTCACGCGAGTGGGCCCGGTCAAAGCGACACGGACACGTGCCGGTGAGGGATGGGTTTGAATGGTTTGAATGGTTTGACGCAGCCCCGTCCTGTTGACTCACCTGACCGGCTGCCTCCGGTGGCCGTCGCTGACTAAACCCTATACGACCTTGGACCACTCCCCTTCTAGCTATTCCCACCATGTTCGCAATTAGGACATTGTTTGAGCCCTAATAATTTTTATTATTACTACTGTTCCAAATGTCATTTAATAAATCCACGACTCTGCAATTAGAAAGCTGTGGAGAAAGTTAGTGAAAGGTAAAGTAACTCACAAGCCTTGACATGGTCTTGTACTCACTTTTTTTCTTCTTCTCATTTTTTTGTATAAGAGATTAAACAAGAGCAAAAGTTTGGTTGATAATATAGAGAAATGCATGAAGCATTGAGAATTGGTAAAGCAAACAACAAGATGTTACTAGAAGGTAAAACCTGCGACCGAATACTAACTCGATCTAAGGGTAGAAAAACTAGTGTTGCGCATGCAAAGTACAGTGGCGTATAGTACACATGACAAGAGCAAATCAAATCAATTAATTTTTGTTAATTTCAATTATGCGACAAAGCCCGTGATTAACTAGGAATTTTCAACTAAGCCCTTGGCCTCTCACCCAACCACCTAGCTATCCCCACACATGATCACACTAGCTAGCTTCAGCTTGTGCTAGCTCGCTTACACACAAATACACACCTCTCCCTTTCTTCTTCCCCTCTCTATCTCTCTCTCGTCGTCTACCTCTCATCTCCTTCTCTTCACTGCATCACCACACCACTAGCCAGTAGCTAGCTAGCTAGCTAGCAAGTACGATCTATATGTGAGCAAACGCCAAGGAGAAGAGGGCTAGCTTGCTTGCTTGCTTGCACGATTGATTTCGATCAGTTTAATTTGGAGCAAAGCTTAGCTCGATCTGAGCTAGCTAGCTAGCTAGTTTGCTTAATTAGCTCCATGTCGGGCGGCGGCGGCGGCGGCGAGGGCTTCCCGTTCCACGACGAGCTGGCGTCGCTGTTCGCTGAGCGGCCGCCGAACGGCGCCATGCCGGGGATGCTGCAGCAGCAGCAGCCGTGGTCGTTCATCGACTACCACCACCACCTGATGCAGGAGAGCGCGCCGACGACGCCGCCGCTGGACTACGAGGCATTCGCCGGGGAGTTCGACGACGACGTGGCGCCTCTGGAGGAGGTGAAGAGGGAGCTGGTGGTGGACGGCGTCGGGTTGTTCCCTGGGGGTGGTGCTTCTGCTGCTGCGGCGGCGGCGGCGGTGGCGGGGCCGATGACTCCGAACAGCATGTCGGTGTCGTCGACGTCGAGCGAGGCGTGCGGCGTCGGCGGCGGCGCCGGAGGGGACGAGGAGTCGGCCGGGAAGTGCAAGAAGGAGGAGGAGGGGGACGGCGGCGACGACGACGGCAAGGAAGGATCGTCGACGACCAAGGGGGATGGCGATGGAGAAGACAAGAACAAGAAAGGGTGAGTTCTTTCATCTCATCTCATCTCATCCCATCCCATCTTGAACTGGATCTTGAAATTCATCCCATCTTGAACTGTATCTTGAAATTCATTTTGCTAGCTTTAGAAAGGTTGATTTGGCGAAGTCTTTGATTTTCTGTTCTGACTGGTGCTATTGGTGACATTAATGTGACAAAAAAAGATTAATAATCAGGAACAGGTTTTCTCTTTGTGTTCATGTTGATTTTTCTTCCGTCTGTTTCCTGAATGACTGTATCCAGATTTGAGCATGTTTAATTTTCTTCACGTTTTAATTTATTTCCTCTTTGGTTTGGTCAAGATGTGTGCATTTTGGCTCCTCTTTTGGTTTCGGTCAAGGACGTGTGAACTCGATGCGCTAGGGTTTCTCACTAGCTAGCACATGCTCGCCGAGCAATTAATACAAAACGAAAAGAGCTTGATCGTTAGGTAGTTTTTTTCTTTCAGAAAAAAGTTGATCAATGTTTTTTTGCTCACGCCTTTTGCTAGTCTTTGCATCACTTTCTTGATCTCTTCCTCTTGTCTTCATCTGATATCTCTTTGAGATATGCATGGTGCGTTCTTAGTTCGCAAGCATTATATTACGACACACACACACACAATATATGAATTGCATTTAATTAGGATAATATATCACACCAGTCTGCAGATTCAGCCTATCAACTCAACTGATCGATCGATATCGATCAATCTCAGTTGGTGGCCAAGTTTTAAGTTTAACTGAACACATCGATCTATCGTTTTCATGGCAAACTTAATTTACCTTGCAACTTTAAACTCCTAGATTTTTGTTGCATCTGTAAATGTGACCCTGACCCCTCCTCCAAATTGTCTAGCTAGCAGTTAAATCACAAATTGATCAGTAGATCCTACCAAAATATATGACCAGGCCGTACATACGTACGCATGTATGTATGGCCGTGTGAACTCTGAAGTCGTCATGTGTAGATGCCCGCGCCGCCGTGCCGTCCATACGTACCTACGCGGCTACTACTACCCTCTGTACGCAGCCACTATGTTTGAATGGACCAACAACTGATCATCCATCGATTAGTATAATTAATCTCAATTTGCAGCTAATTAAGCTAGCTAGTATGAACATGATCTTGCTCGATCTATGGCACACACCAAAAATATGTAGCTTGTTGGGTAGTATAGTAGTACTGTCATTGAATTGACCTTGCTGTTAATTAGTTAGCATAGCTAGCTGATGTGTGATGAACTGATGACTGGATGAATTGATGTGAGTGAAAAAAAAATTTCATTTGCAGAGGTAAGGGGAAGGGGAAGGGGGAGAAGAGGCCGCGGCAGCCGCGGTTCGCGTTCATGACCAAGAGCGAGGTCGACCACCTCGAGGATGGCTACCGGTGGCGCAAGTACGGCCAGAAAGCCGTCAAGAACAGCCCATTTCCCAGGTACTTCGTTTTATATTATAAGTCGTTTTAATTTTTTTTAATTAAATTTTCTTAAGTTTGATCAAATTTATAGGAATGTTTAGCAACGTCTATAGCACCAAATTAGCTTCATCAAAACTAGCATTTAAATTAATATGTTTGATAATACGTTTGTTTCGTGTTGAAAATTAATGTAGCTATATTTTTCTATAATAAACTCGATCAAACTTTTAAAAGTTTAATTAGAAAAAAAGTTAAAATGATTTATAATATGAAATGGAACGAGTAAGAACTTAGTTATGAATCATGAATGCATTTGGTAGCTGAGATATATATGGATCATTGATAATTGATTAGGGTTCTTACGTTTGTGTGATGGATGGATGGATGGGTGCAGGAGCTACTACCGGTGCACGACGCAGAAGTGCCCGGTGAAGAAGAGGGTGGAGCGGTCGTACCAGGACGCGGCGGTGGTGATCACCACCTACGAGGGGAAGCACACGCACCCGATCCCGGCGACGCTGCGCGGCACGGCGCACCTCCTCGGCGCCGCCGCCGCCGCGCACCACCACGGCGGCCTCCAGTACCACCATCCCGGCCACTTCGCAGCCGCCGTCGGCCACCGTTTGCCTCCGCAGCCGCACGACGCGCTCGGCGGCGGCCTCCTGGCGCCGCCGCATGCGCAGCATCTCCATGCCATGCAGCACCAGATGCAGCTGGCGGCGGCGGCGGCGGCGAGCGGCGGATCACTGCACGCCGCCGCCATGCAGCAGATGCCGCAGCCTGATCATGCTGGCTTGGTTGCCATCATCGCCTCTACCACCGGTGCTTCCACCACGCCGCCGCCGCCGCCGGCGACGGGGAGCGCTGCTGCTGCTACTACTCCTCTCCGGATGCAGCACTTCATGGCGCAGGATTACGGCCTCCTGCAGGACATGTTCATCCCGTCGCCGTTCTTGCACAACGACGACGCCAACAACAACAACCACCGTTGATCGATGATGATGATGATGATCACTAGCTCGAGCTGGATGGCCGGCTACTGATATACTCTGATAGTGATTTGCATCTTGTTAACTTAATTTCTCCTTTTTTTGGTTCTGAACATCTGATCGATTGATCTGTATACGATGCATTCTACGACGATGGTACGTGTAGTACTATGATGATGATCTAGCAAGTAGCCTAGTTGTAGCATGCAGCATCGGCGGCAGCAGCAGTAGTATACTACTAGTAGTAGAAGTTGTTGTACATGTACCTGATTCTCATGAGCTCGTACGTGCAGACTTGCACTGCACTTTGGGGGGCATTATTCAGTAGTAGTACTGAATACTGATGATGAGCTAGCAGTGGTAATTTCATGCTCTTGTTTCCTTAATTGACTCCAACTGATAGCTACTAGGAGTATGTACATAGTAGTACTTTTGATTGTTTGTTATAATCATGGGACCAGCTAGCTAGCAGCTGATCGAGGGCTAGCTTCTGATGTTCATGCATGCATGATTGTTCTTGGTATCAACATCACGATTGTCCATGCATGCGATGCATCTAGCTCGATTATAATTTTGTCATGCATGATCATGATGAGACACTTGTTGTTGCTCCTTCATATCATCAGTACGTTCAGAAGTTGTTAGGGAAGAGGCATGCATGTGCGTGTCTGTAAATCGTTTCTGTTTCATGTTCATCTATGGTTTCTTGAGTCTGTTATTGCAGATGAAGTACATGAAACTATTTTAATCCCTCGAGCAAACATTCTCTTGTTTTTCATATGCCATCTTAAAAGTTATGTTTTTCTTTAAAAAATAATAAGCTAGCTTAATTAATATGTGATATATCACATACATATTATTCCATCTTGTCAATTTTTTTAAAGAAAATTTACATTGAATGACAGAAACGAGGGTACATCTCTTGAGGGTTTAGAAATTAGAATCCATTCCCTGGTCATATACAATAAAGTACGTACTTCAATATCAAGGTATAGAACAATAATTAATTACCCAGCTATTGGAATGAGATCTAGTGCGGTCGTAGTAGTACTAAAACTTTAGCAGTCGGAGCACATTATAACCGTTGGATCGATGCAGCCAACGGCTTGGATTTGCTCTCCCACCCTATTGCACATTAGACGCTAAAGTAATTGCCACATGAGGAATTGGCTACAGTAAATCGTGAACAATATTTTTTTTAATGATTCGGGCCGCTGGTTTTGATCCATCAGCTACCTTGCAACTGCTAGAGTTACCGTCATATTAACAACTGCACTGGGTCTCAATCCCAGGTATTGCTAGCTAGATTGCTAGCTTTGATCTACAGCTATGATCACCGTCTACTGAAGGGGACACAAAAATGTGTTTGTTTTCATTAATTAATTGTTTGATGAAAATGGAGGGTCATCCGATACTTTGAGAAGTATCTTCCATATATATGTACTAGTACTACAACGAACAAACACCTATATACACCAAACAAATTTACTATATATATATATAGTAAATTTGTTTGGTGCTCCATGGTGTCCGGGCACTATTGTTGAAATTGAGTATATACCCAATTCAAATGAGTATGAAACTTTTTCAATTACTTAGGTATTAACATTAACTACTTTACTAACTAGTTTAAAGCAAGTTTGAACTGAATTTGAACTTGTTTTTGTTAGATTTTGATTATAGGTATATAGCATCCATACATATAATTAGTTAGGTATGTAATCATGGATTGTGAAATAAAGTTAAATTTGAGTTGTTTTGTTGATAAGTATAGGTATGAATCAAATTATTATAACTAGGTATATACTCACAATTTGAAAAATTTTGTGCATTAGATACCATGGTGCCCGGGCACCATGGTGCCCCATATGAGTGTCATATATATATATATATATATATATATATATATATATATATATATATATATATATATATATATATATATATATATATATATATATATATATATATATATATCTGAAAATCTGAGACAAAATTAATTGCAGGAAGTGCATTTGTTTGGACCTAACAATTGAAGCTATGATTAGTCCGTGTATACAACCAATTTCAATATGCATGAACTTTGTTGGTATGTTCCTTATGAGGTTCTACCTCACTCCAGCTCATTGTTCATACATAAACACACACACACGCACACTCCTACTCAATTGCTTCTATATGTTCTCTCTGGGTCATCAGATCAATGCTTAATTACTTTGGTATGAGCGAGAGATCGTGCTACTTTGCAGACTCGTTGTCTGAACTCTGAAGGTCAAAAAATTGAGCGCTCAAGGAAACAGTGCAGTACTGCAAGCGGAATTAATTAATTATAGAACTTTTATGGTACAATGTACTGCTAGTATATACTGCAAGTATATATGATCTAACGGTGTAAATTGATTTGATTTTTTTAGTTAATTAGATTGCAGTATAAAGTTTGAAGGGTAATTTTGTCTTTTCTTCGTTATTCTATCATCAAATCATGCTATCATTACGTGCTTCGTCATCAAATGGCGGTCAGTATGCTCCTCCCCTAGCGCACGATAAGATCCAGGACCGGGTACTCCCAATTAGATTCAATCTGAACAGAAAATTACTAAAGTGTTATTTTATTTTCTATCAAATTTTTAATATGCCCTTTTATATACTGCCAGTATATACTGGTAGTATATTGTACCAGTAAAAGTTCTCATTAATTAAGGCCCCAGTGAATACGTCCGCATATGAGACTATGAGTCCAGCTGCAAACTACTAATTAAGAACATCGCATCGTAATTAACCCTGTGTTGTCCAGCATATTCAAGGGCCCCAGCAGAAGGGCAGATAACTGAACTTGCGAGACACGCCCGGCCGCCGGTTCCATCTGCTTAATTGCATCCATCAAGCTCGCTGACTTGTATACCTACATCAAAATCGCCAATGAGGTAAGTTAATTTCTAGGGCATGTTCACTTTGATATCATTTTTAATCTTATCAAATTTTGATAAAATTGTCAAAAAAGTGGCTACATTTAGTTTGCACCTATATAATAAATCCTATCAAAATTTTGGCAATACCAAAATTTGGTAAGGTTTTTTTTTGACATCAAAGTGAACATTCCCTCAAAGTAACATGCAAATAACGTGTAAACGTTCTATCTACAGTTTAAAATCCACTCTTAGACTCAACGACACTTGGTCTCAACAGCTAGTTAATTAAGCCGCGATGGTCGCCGTTGCACCGGTCATTAATTGGCGTCGACCAATGCAAGCTGCTATTACTTGCTGGTGTCGATCGATGGCTACCTTTGAATCAAAAGGAAAGTCAGCTTCATCCAAACCCATCGAAATCTCCATGACTGAGTTAACACCGACTCGGACTGTCTGACATGTACGTGTGTGCAGGTGAATCCAAAAGGCTTAATTTGGCTGGCTGACTAGCTTGCAAAACGTCGTACAAACGTTCTTGTATTGATAGGCCCTGCATGCATATTCCTTGGTCAAAATGATCGATCGATCCATCTGCTTTTTTCTTGGGAACGATCTAGCAGTTCAGCTAGCTAGTGAGATGTCCAAACCAACCAAGAAATGGTCAAGTTGCGTGTCAAATCTCACCAGCCGTTCGTTCATGATCAGGTTTCCCATATATCAATATATGCATACACAGTACTGAAGCTAGCAGGTTGTTGTTAGTATTCATCTTTGATCAAGTTTCGTTAAATTCTCCCCCAATTACTCGTGAACTTCTAATGGAGATATCAGATGATCATATCGCTTCAGGGTTTTCAATTTTTTTCTATCGTCGGTTTTTGGTGGTTTTGGAGACCATTTTTTTGTCCTTGTTCCACGGCAATTGTGTAATTAAAACTTTACTTTCTTCTAATATACTGATGATCATTTTGCGCGTTTGCGAAAATAAAAAAGATCAGGTCGATTCATGCGAGCGAGTACGCGGCAAAAGGAAGGGTTGGCTGGGTAGCTAGCTTGGTCCAGAGCGCGGCGGCGACCGATCGAGGTGGTAACGATCAGCGACAGCGAGTCGGCGTTTGGGTCCCATCAAAGCCGGAGAGGCTGCCTTTGCAAGCCACCGGCGAAAGCGACGCCGTCGTACGTCCTGGATGGATGGATTAATTGCGATCGAGCACAGCCTGCTGGACCTGGGCGACCACGACGGCGACGATCGATCGATGCCTCGCCGCTTCAACGACCACGAATCGCCTGCCTGCTACTGTATCAGATATTCAGATATGAGTACATATATAGGAAGTAGAAGTAGTATCTAGCTAGCTAGCTTGAGAACTGAAGCTAGACGACGACATGAGCCTGTAGAGATGAGTAATTAGTGGTGGATGAATTGGTCATCAGTGGATATCTTGCAGTTGCAAGGGTGGGATCTTCTAGTAGTAGTACCATCACCTATCGAGCATTAATGAATGTGGAGGTGAGGGTGAGTGAGACGCGAGTGCTGGAAAGTGATTGTTCGATTGCCAAATTTTATCCCAACGTACTACTACTACGTACGAACTGTCCATTATCCGAGATCGTCCTGCAAGAATGGTTTGCGTAAACTCAATATGCTTTCGCATCGAACATATAAAAGGATGTAGAGAAAAAAAAGATGAGCATGATGACAGTCCAGGCCTGAATTTCAGGCTTCGTTAATTCCAAAGTGGGTTTTGAAACGGATTATTAGCCGGACGCAAAACAAGAAAATGATTAATATAGAATTAATTAAGTATTACTCCCTCCGGTTTCATTTTAATTGATGCTTTGAGCAATGTCACGTTCTACAAGATATACCTTTGACCTTATTTTTCTATAATAATATATACAATAAATAAATGTATGTTTACTTTTATTATATTGTTTTGAAAGACAAATCTATATATGTTTTTCTAGTTTCTTTAAACTAAATATTTTTAAAGTTATTGATGGTCAAAGTTATAAAAGCTTAACCTTAACCTTGTCCAACCAGAGGGAGTAATTATTGAATTTTTTAAGTAGATTTATGTTATTTTAAAAACATTTTTATATAGAAATATTTTGCATGAAAAAACGTGTTATTAGACATAGGAAGTAGCCAAGGCGAAATGTAGATTAGAACGGGTCTGGAGAAGGAGCTGAACTATTTCTTGAGACTCTAAAATGCCTGCTTTTGTGAGTAACTTTTGTAGCTGTAAAATGGTGATGCACCTGACTTCCTTACCAGTACTTCCTAATGTCTGGTCATTTATAAGAATTTTTACGGTTTGAATTCAGTGATTGAGCAAGCGAGAATATTAATTCAGCTTAAATCTTTGGTGCCTGCTCGGGCTTAAACTAGGCCCGGTCTACATCAGTTGGCCATCTGTTTCAGGTCAAATTCAAGCAATTGTCAAATTGCAATAATTCGATAGTATTTCCAAACT